CCCGTGTATATACGCACATACATTTGTCGATAATTGGTCCGCTCGTAGAGAAGATTGATGCAGCGAAGAGGGAGTAGTGACGGAGAGGAATAGAAAGACAAGGGAAAATGAAGGGATGAGCGTGCGCGGATGAGTTGAATGGGACGCGAATGAGGAACAGGAGGAGAACGGAGAAAATAGTAAGAGGAGATGGTGTAACGAGTGGTGGAAGATGATTGAGGGATTATCACACGTTTTCGCGTCCGTATCGGTCGTCGTTCGAAATCGAGCGCGACGATACGGGAACGCGATGATGCATCGTTCTAATGGAAGATCGAAGGCGAGTTGGTCGCCGTTCGTTCGAACGTTGCTTTGGCACATTGTAGAGAGGACGGAGCGTCTCCGTCGCGGGCAGCGTCGAAGCTACCGAAACTATACTTCCGTTCCTGACGATCGCTTCTAAGACAAGGTTCGCTAGAAGCTTTGACTATCCCTCACATGGTTTCTGTCCCGAGGCTACCAACGAAAGCTGGCTCCGCGATGTTCGAGTCGCACTGCATTACCCATTCCCAGATCCTCTTGGTTACCACTTTCTGATCGATCGTCGTCTCCAGGCCGTAACTGTTCAGAAGCTTTCTCAGTTTGTTCTTGTTCTCGTCGACGTTTCTCTGATCGTCCAGGATGGTGTCCAGGTAGAGCAGGCTGTCGGCTCGCCTCGCTATTCCCTCGCTAGCATCCACTAACGTAGAGGTAGCGCTGTGACTGATCTTGTTCACGCACCACGAATCCTTCAGGTATTTGTTGATCTCGGTTACGTGCGGCCTCTTTTCAGGCTTGTGCTCGAACGTTCGCCTGAAGTATCGCAGCAGCCTGGGTGTGAATCGTCTGAACGTTGGCGGGACTTTGGTGGTCCTTCTTTTCAACCATCTCTGAAACGCCGAGTATTCCGGATCTTGGATAAGATCGGCCGTCTGCCACGGCGGGTTCCCGGTCAGGCAAACGAACAGGACGATACCGAATTGCCAACAGTCGGCGCTCCTCTTGCAGGCATACCTCTCGTTCTTCACTATTTCGTAGATCTCCGGCGGTTGAAATGGCAACCAGGTGCAACGTATTTTATTGACTAAGGTACCTTCGCGTCTCGTGCAACCGAAATCGCACAGCTTGATCTTGGACATGTCCAGCGCGAACACCAGCACGTTCTCCAGCTTGATGTCCCGATGGGCCAACTGTTTCGAGTGTATGAAATCGAGAGCGGAGCAGAGCTGGCTGGCGATCCTCTTGCACGCTTCCTCGCTCAATCCCCCGGCTCTCACGTTGCCCGCGAGGTCTCCGTAAGGGGCGTACTCTTGCGCGAAAACGAAACACTTCTCCGCTTTGAACGCGACCGCGTACGAGCACAATATGTTCGGGTGCGGGCTTAAATGATACGAATAGTGAAACTCGCGGAAAAAGTCCTTCTCCGTGGTTAATTCTTGGTGGACGGCTTTCAGGACGACCCTGGTTCGCGTCGCTCGATGAGTCGTTAATAGAACTTTGGCGAAACTACCCTCGCCGAGCGTCTTCTCCACTTCATACTCCTTCGACAGATCCAACTCCTCCAACGGAATCTCCTGCACTCTATGTATTCCGGACTCCTTTTTCTCGTGAAGTTTCATCTGAAATCAGATCACCAGGTATTCGTATTAACGTCAGTATTAACGAACCTTTTTTTCTTTTTTCTTTTTTTTTTTTTTTTTTTTTTTATCGTTTCTATCCTATGCGCTGTTAAATTCTATTTTAATCTCTCGCATCGTCGTCACGCGCACACGTTAAGATCGATTGGTCTACCTCGAGTTATTTCTTTCACCCTTTCATCGGCGTGTAATCGTAACGTTTAGTGAAAGGTCTTTTTATTCGTTTACGTCATCGATGCACACAACTACTTCAAACTATCATGGTGTCGGCTCGTACGGCCGATCAAGCGTGAAACGCGTTTAGCACTTCGTTGGGTTTCCATCAGAGAGGGCATCGCACTCTCATCGCTGTGATTCAAGAATCGCCCTTGCCCTTGCCCGTTGAAACCGAAGACAATCGGAATTGGACGAATTTTACATTCCTCTTTTTTTTTTTTTACGTCTGAACGATTAACGAGAATTTTCTATTAATCTTAATCTTTTTTATCGTTGCTCTTTCACACGTTCGGAAAAACACATGCTCGCGGAAAGTAATCGGATTATTTTTTAAAAATTTTAGGAACGATAAATGATTTCCCCCCTCCCCACCGGTTTTCGTCGATCGAAAAGTCGCCGAAAAAATCCGAAGAAATATCGTCCTGATGATTCGTGTAGGCGAAGGACGAAGTATGGAGTGAAGAGGCGAGGGGAGAACGCCGGAGGTTGGCCGGGTGAACCCAGGACCTTTTCAGCTGCCTAGATCAATAGCAAGGATTTCGCTGCAGCAACGCGCGTCAAACCATTCCGTTATCGTTCGTATTGTTTGTGATTCTACTGAAGATCGAAGTACGAAAGGAACCGGAGGAAAAGAGACAAACGATTCGTCAAATCGATCTCGACGTGGAAGAATTTCTTAATCGTTGTGCTCCGATGCTCCAGCCATGTTTTTTTTTTAAGAACGTCGTTTCATTCGAAGAGAAACAACAATCGACGTTTAGAGTTCTGTAGAGTTATACGAGTCGATTTTATCGCCGGTCGTAAAACTATCGTTTTTCTTTCTCGAGATGATTTTCTTCACTGATTTCCTCCTGCCCGCGTATACGTGTCTCGCGTTAGTATTTTTACGCGCGATTCTTTACGCAAATCGCACATTGTCGATTCGTGGAAGTCGTAAGCGATTATTTTTTTTTCTCGCTCTCTCTGCCGCTTCTGACCGGCGTACGCTGACAAACTTTTGGACACAAGTTATATTTAGCGTTTCTGTTTACCGGTGCTATTTTAACGCGTGTGAGAGATTAGCGAAGTAATATTTTCGTCTATGCCTCTACGTGTAACGAGCACTTTGAGGGAAAGGCCGATTAAAAATGGAGAAGGAAAGAGAGAAAGACGGAGAGAGAGAGAGAGAGAGA